TCGACGAGCTTCACACGAGAGTGGATGTCTGAGTGAGATGACCACAAGTCAGGTCCAATGTCCTCCCACTCGTCGCCTTGATAGGATCCTATTTTGGAGTCTACTAAGTGCAGACTGGACGTGACATCTTCAATCATCTTCAATTGCTTTTCGTCATGGGATCGAAACTGGCCAACCAAGTCGCCCAGTCCGGCTAGGCGTGATTCCTGCTCCTTTAGTACGGAGAGCACTGCTTCGAACATCTGTTTTGACTCTTCCGTGACCAACTCGGATGCCTGGGCGCGGAGGTCATGGATGGAGTGCTCAGGCTTGGTAGCAAATAGTATGCGCTGAGCTTCGGACTGACGTTCCATCGTTACTCGCTGGGCTTGAGCTTCAAAGCTGACCTTCCGGGGAGTCAGGATGTGCTTGATTGCTTCTGCAAATGATTCGAGAGTCTCCTGGTCCTTTGGCGAAGGTGAAGCACCTCCTGCCCAATTGACTGAACCCCTGGCTTTGGCTTCCTGAACGTCAGCAAGACGACTTCTAAACACCATACGTAAGTGTTCGAGTGGATGGGCTCGTCCAAGGAGAGAATCCAGTTCACTTTTTCACGGGAAGCCGAATCGAATCGAGGAGCTTCCCCTCTGAATCTGTCACTACAAGAACAACAACACTAATAGCAACAAACACAACCAATTGGTCATACCTATACCATTACACTACCTATTAGACCCACTGGAAGCATTGAAACGAAGCGAAAGGACCTCAGGAAGCTTGTTATCTGTTATCTCGTTGAAGAGTACCGTTTTACTATAGGATTCAACTCAACGTCATCACGGAAAACACACATCCTTTTTCCTCTCTTTATCTCTCATTCAAGCCCTCCGGTTGACAGGATCGACACCTCCTCTGGTATCTCCTATCAAGCGCACCTCTCCTATCAAGCGACTATCAAAGCGGCCTTCCCCGGTTTAGATTAGAAAGCCATCCCAATTGAAATCCTACGAGATCGGGCGGGTTTTCTATCCTCGACCGCCGACGGCCAAGTTGGAAGAATTTGAACACAAGAAGAAGTCACTGGCTCTCAGTAGACTCAGCAGTGCAAGTTTCCTCCATACCCTGCAGTGAACTGACATTGCTCTTACTACCGACGGCCCAAGAAATCCCATTGTCGATCCTCTTTTTTCGAACGATCGATCTTCCTCCGCAACAACAGGATCAGTTAACCTTACCCCTAAGGCAACTGACTCATCCGAATTGCGAATCGAATCGATTCAACAAATCGAATCGAACTCAAGACTCACTACTCCGTGAATCGATCAAATCTTCCCGCGAACGTACCTCTTCTCCGATACGTACCTCTTCCTCCGTACGAAGCCTACTATCATCAAGAAGGACTTCACGAGATACCTGCAGTGACCATCGAGAACAGAAACACAGCTGTATTTCTTTCTTTCTCACCGGCCACTCTGGGTTTCTCCCGACGTCCTTGTTGGAACTTGATCCTACTGATCCAACCAGTCCTATCCCTGTACAGACTGATTGACTGATCAACACCTGCTACTGTTACACCCCTCCATTGATATCTAACTCCTCCCCAAGAGGAACAACAAACAACAACAGAGTTCCTGTAAGGACTTGAGTTCTTGTATCTCCAGGCTTGGCTGCATTTTTTAGAGTTTTCACAGCCCCTCCCTGAGATGCCCAGCTCCCCTCCAAAGGATCTCACCCCCACAAGAACAAACTACAAAAGCTGCCCCTCTAGTGTGTTAGATTGTGCAACACTTCATTGACACAGCCACCTCTCTGCTACTGCACCTGACTCTCCTACTGAGTGTGGTGCTCCAAAGGATTGAGCCCCAGACAGCACTGCAGCGTGGTGTGGCATAGATATTAAAACATAACTGACTCTTTCTCTCTCTCATTGATTGTTGAGTGACTCTTCAGCACACTTGTGCATTCGAGCTGAATTGAGTACCCTCTCCACATCTTGGTTTGACTCTCTGTTACAAGGTGGCCCTTGCAACAGATTGAGTACCAGCCTTTGAGACAACACAGTGCCATCCAGTAACACAGCGCCATCAACCAACAACACCCCTTGATACCCCCACCACTGCCTCTACTGGCTATAGCGTGACTTCTCCAGTTTCCTCTGAAAGAATCCCTAACAGCCTTCGGCTCTGATCCCATCTTCTCCTGCAGGTAGTGGTATACCTGCACCAGACTTGGCCACAGCCTTTGATCCAGTGGCAACAACAACCCAACAACTTGATATAACCTTGATTACCAGTGCCTCAGTGCATTGGCCCTTGAATAAACCCCTCTACATCAATCCTCTCGCCACCTCACAAGCAACCTCCATTGCTTGAGTTGAAGCAACGACACTACAGTCAACACTCCAGGATACACAACTCTCCCACCAATCCAACTACCACCCACCATGACTTCCCCATGTCTACCCACAACTTCACTCAAACCCAAGGTCGTTCCAGACATCCCCCCACTCCCACACTTCACCCAACCAACCACATCCACCATCCTCCGCAGACTACACAACACCACTCCCCAGATGATCAGCCAACAGCTCCTAGAGCATGCAGCCATCTTGAGGATCACACACTTCCGAATTACACCCTACCCTATCAGGGAGGATGCCTTTGTTCTCACCCTTGAACAGAGGCACGCCTCTATCCTACAACACACCATCAACCATGCTACATTCCAACTTCTACAACAACACCCCAACACCAACAGGATCTCCCCTCCTGCCCCTGGCACCAGCCCACTCCCAGTGCCCCTTATCCTCCTTCTATTGACTCAACAACCCCTCGAACAGCCCGCAACACTCCAGCAGCCACTGTGCCTCCCTCCTGGGAACCACAGACTGCCAGTGTGTCATTTGACCCCATCTTCTGCCTGCTTGTTGGCCTCTATCTAACAATTTTTGTGCATTGGATGGGTTACACCCTGCTCTGGTCCAGCCTGAGGAGTACCACCTCCTACGGGCTCTGCTGGCATCTTGCCTTGCATGCCAAGGCACTTGCCACAGCTTGGGACCTGATCACCCAGACACACTTACTGGCGAGCACTCTTTGGTCTGGCAATCTATCTGGTCCTCACGGCCCTTTGGTGATAATGGTTTCAATACCGACAAAATCCTGTGTAAGCCCCTGTAACCCAGGTTTTGCGCTGCAGGTTCCCTATCAATGTGCTCACCCCCCTACCCAGGGCATCTGTCTACTTGGTGCTGGCTCCACATTGGGCCAGTAGATGAGGTCATGTTGATTGGGAAAACAAGTAGATGACGACTCAGCTAGGTGGGGATCTCCCCCACCACTTGCCCGCGTCAATAAAGTCACTCCGTGGCCAATAGCTTGTTAAGCTAAATGAGTAATTTAACCCCCAAGGAGAGAATCCAGTTCGCCGGACCGAACATTGACCATGACTGCAGGCATGCTGGGAGACAGAAGTCCATAAGTTCCAATCTTGGCTTTGTTCTTCCCGACGGACTTGGTGAGCGGTATGATGTATAGGTTTCCCTCTTGCAGCGCCACTTTGCTCTCATGGGCGGTGATGGTACAATCTTCCTTGAAACAGAACTTCTGACCGGCAGGTGAACCGATGACGCCACAACAGTACAGACTCAACATATCTGGACGAACGACAACAACCCTAGCTTGGACACCAGTCTTACCTGCTTCCTCACCATCGCCAGAAATGCCACCGGCGACGGTTGGGTTTGCGCCCTCACCAACATTGGAACGGATTTCCTCGGTATTCGTATCGGCCGGAGAGCCGACGCTCGCTTTGGTCCTCGCTGAAGGTGTACGGGTGCCTTTCTCTGGCGAGAGGTCAAGACTCCCATGAAGCAGATTCTGCAGCATTTCGGCTGAGTCGTCTGTCTCATTTCCATCCCCCTTGAAGGACTTGGAGTCTTCAGTCATATTCAGATAGTAACGATATAAACGCTAATAAAACAAAAGAGACTGGTGGACACTTATTAACTCAACAACAGAGGCCCTGAGCGGTAACTCAGACTGTATTAGAACCAACCAACCAACACTACAACCCCCCCCCCCCGTGAGAAAAGGGATGCGGTGCAGGAATGAGGAGGAGCCCATGGCGGAGGCGTAGAGGAGCGGCGTTGAGCGAGAAAGAGCGAGAAGAAAAGAGCGAGGGAACAGGCGGGGCGCAAAGAGAAAATTTCCTGAGTATCTCGTTGGATGGCTGTTCAGGCTGATCAAGACCAGATGAACCAACCGCGTGAGTACTCAGGCTCAATCAAGGAGGAAGACTTGGTGGACAAGATAGAGATGTTGTGAGCCTTGCTAGTTGAGTCCAACAGAAGGAGTGTAAGACTCAAATAGAATATTTGGTTTTGGTAGGCTTGACTCGTCTGGCTTGACTCTTCACCCTGCTTGGCTGGGTCGCGCGCTTGGTCCTGGTGTTGGCCTGTTCTTTGTGTGACCCGGATGGGGGACTGCAGATTGGACCAGGGGAAAGTCCAGGAGTAGGTTCTGGGTTCTGGTTTGGAGCATGGTGTAGATCCAGGTATGGAATCGAGAGTGGGGCAAGTCCTGGAGTTAGTCCATGTGCGGGGCCTGGGGATTGACAGAGGTGGAGATAGTCTAGGATATGGTCCATGTGTGAGGCGTGGAGATGGAAAGGTTCAAATCCTGGAGTTGGTCCACGTGTGGGGCCTGGATATGAACTAGGGGTGTCCTGAGGTGTTCCAGGCGTGGGACCTTGAGATGTGGCAGGTGGGGTTCCTGAAGTTGGTCCAGGTGGGGGTTCTAGAGATGGACAGGGGCGACCATCAATCTTAATCTACCTACTAGCTAGTGAGCGATGCCTGGGGCCGACACGACCATCCCGTCAATAGTGCTTTGCTGGTTCCAGCTAGACCGCACGCTTGAAATACCGCAAAAACTCGACCGATCCCTCATCGGTGCTGCAAGTCGAAGCGATAAATATCATAGGTCGCGTCCCACAACCAGTTCGCCCACTGCCCCAACTAGTTATCTCGAGGAACCTCGCTTCTTTCGTGGCAGCGACATTGATTCATCGTCGTCTTGGTCAGCTTGGCTGCTGCCGAGATTGGGCAGCCTGGCAACGGCGCTCCTCGGAAGTTCCATCAAACCTGAAGACTCCACCTCGCTTCCATCCGAGGATTCCGAAGCAGGAGACATTGGCGCTCCATCTTTCGCTTCAGTCCGATCCGTAGCTGATGGAGTCTGGCGCCCACTTTCTTCGTTGACACCTTGGTCAGCAACAGCCTTTGCAGGGATTGTCCTCTTTCGCTTGACCTTCTTGTGGAAACGTCGCTTGCCCCGCGCGAATTCTGGGTGAAAGTAACCTATGCAACCAAAAATGTGTTGAGCTGGTTAGTCATAATCCGATCATATAGGTCATGCCGAGCTTTCGTGAACTTACCACCCTTGTCGGGGCCTTCTGTTATTCTCTGAAACGAGTACAGATTCAGTTGTTTGAGGAACGTGTTCATTCGTCCCGCTGCAAAGTACTTGGGCATGATGTCCCGAATGAACTCTTGGGGCTTGTGGACGGTGAACGATTTTCCATGGGGGAAGAACGAGATGATGTCGGCCTGTCCATTCTTCTCGGCTTCAGAATACGATACAGCTTCAGTGGAAACGGCTCCCTTGATCTCTTGATAGCTCGGTTGGTCGCTAGGTCCTCCGCTGAAGGTTTGACATCTCGGGGATTCTTGTGCGTGCGAAAGTACTCTTCGTCGCTGACATCGTCGCCTCGGGTATCGCTTTTCAATGGTGCTGCTTTCATCTCTTCACCTTCTTTGGTGTCATAGTACTGACCTCCGCGCCTGGCTGCAAGATAGGCACTTGCAGACGCTTGGCCATTGGCTTGAGCTTGGAACGCCATATCAGGAGATCCTTCTGCGTCTAGCTGAAGTATTTTGCCCGTCAAGGACTCCTCCATTCTGTTATTGGCCAATGCCAGCCGGGTTCTGTCACTGTGACCTTCTGCTGAAAAGCCCAGCGATCTCGTTGTTCTTGCAGTTTCCTGAGATAGAAAGGCCGAGGAAGAGAGTGTTGGGAGAACCGAACCGGCACCAACCCCTGCCCCCAGACCGCGCGAGAGCGATGCGGCGGAAGCACCGATAGAGAGAGCACTGGGGTTTGCCGAAAAGCGATCAAAGAGACCAGCTTGCGGCCTCGGGTTCTGCATCTCTGAGTACGCAGCACGCAGTAGCACCTCATCTTGGAGCTGTTGCTGTTGCCTCCGAAAACGCAAGGCCCTCAGCTGCTCTTCGGTCTGAACTGCCTCCTGCTCCAGCAGAACTCTCATGCGGAGCTCTGCATCTTGTGCCTGTGCCTGGGCTTGTGCCTGCAGTAGCTGAGCTTCCAAAGGAACGCCCTGATTGGTTGCCCCCCTTGGGTCTTGCAATAGCATCGCCAAATGAGGTAGCTGTGCCTCGCTTGATGCAGCCGTGCCTAGCAGGGCAGACGGATTGGACGCGGACGAAGATAGTGAAGGAGAATGCAAGGAAGGAAACGGGGCTCTCGACGCTAGCGATGCCGCCAGCAAGTCGGCGGGTGGTGCGGACGCGGAGGACATGTGAGAAAGTGGTGCTGTAGCTGGGGAGTTGCTGTTGACAGTGGAGGAGTGACGCTGTCCACCCGCCCCTGGTACCGGAATTGAAGCTCCTGCTGAAAGACCAAGAGCTATTTGGAGTCGCCGCCTTGCCTCCGCCTCGTCCTCCTGTTGTCCAGTCTGCCTATACCCACCTCTCATTATGATCCTCATGTAGTACGGCTGTTTCGAGAGCCTCTATCAATGCTCAACAATTTAATGCAGGAGAGCAAGATTCTCCGTTTGCTTTTTGATCCAGAAAAAAAAGTGGGAAGAATGAGAGTACATATACCAGTTACCAGTAGCACTGGCGGACGGGCCGAGGAGCAGATGATGAACAAACTGGAGATGGCCAAGATTCCGCTGCCGCTTTGTGTCAGAGGCTGTTAGGGGAAACGCCCTGGTGACGCTCCTTCAAACAAAGTGCTTCCAGCTGTGCTTCCTGACTTTTTGCCCCGGCAACTGTCGACTGCTATGCTATGCTTGGTGACACTTGCTTCCTACGCTATTGCTCGGGGCTCGGGGGGCTTCGTCCTCAGAAACTAGCATTCGGCAATAATTTCCGTTCAAGTGGATTCACAGTTTCGATGACTGTGGAGACTTGAGAAAGCAACATCTTAATTAAAAGACATTCAATGTAATTACCCTACCCAAGACACAAGGTCTAGACAATCGTAACAGTCATTTTCTCTGTAGTATGAACAAATAGCTACAAATCCACCATGCTTTTCCCGTTGTCGGGAGCAGTCTTTTACCTGGACAGCGGAAAGCTCAAGCTTTATAGGGCTCTGAATGCCCCAAGTTCACTCTTCACTCTTCTGATGTCCAAGGAGGGGACGTGGCATGCCGGAAGAGCCTTGGCGGTGTTATTACTCTCCTATCTCCTGCTGTATCGGTATTACACGTACTCTCCTGTCTCCTACTGTATCTGTATCGGTAGTACTAGTAGTACATTTAGCGCTATAGCTCACACCAGTACCATCCTTTGATTCCCTCTTCCCTCTGGCACTACGAGAGCTATTATTAAAATAGCTATAGAGGTACGTAGTTACACGAGTAGAGGTCTGGTTGGCAACCTACTGGTACTCGTTCTGGTACTCGTACTCGAGTATCGCGTAGGCGTTTCAAAAAGTCAACAGGCCGAAGCTCCTTGTTACGCTAAGCATGTGCACGCTTATGTGCACTCCATGGTCATGGTGTCTTGGTAATAAAGACGAAAACGAGTGATGGTCGGCAGCAGAGGGCAGAGAGTGAGAGGGTTGAGTACGAGTAAGTGGTAAGAGAGGCATGGAACTTAATAAAAATTTCTCCGAGTAGACTGAGTACTATTAATAGTAGACTGAAAGACCACAAGACCACTGATTCTGAAAGCACTTTAGAAGCAGATGTCTTGGCAACTACACAGCGGTACCGGTAGCAACGTGGAGGTACCAGTTTGGCAGTTGGTTACCGGTAAGATAGTTCATCTTCTTGCGGTGTCTCCCTGCAGGTGATTGGTTTTGACCACCCACTCTGTACCTTCCGAGTTTCTTTGTAAAAGGCATGTTGGAAGCAACCCAGTACGTACCCGCCACCGGTACTGAATCATACATACCCAAAGCAATCTAAAAACAACATCGTGGTACTTGTACGTAGCTCTGTACGTACAAAAAAGAACCTGTCGTCACATGCTACGGGATTGGGTTTGAATCTGAACATACATGATTTCACCAAGAAGAATTAACATGAAATAAAAGAATTAGACATTTTCACTCTTTCCAACAGGTAAGTTAGTTGTCCCTGTCTTGGATAGTAGTCCAGCACTATCTAGCTATTATAATAGTGTAGCCATCCAGCTATCACATATGTAGCAACTAATAGCAACTTACAATTTACAACACTTACTTTACAAATTTGTGTAGACAATTCACAGAACCAGAGGAATTAAAGGGAGAAGTTATGGGAGTACTAGTATATATTAAATAGTAGTGTACTAGTAGAGATAACATCAAGCTTTCAGAGATAGTACTGTAGCTCCATCATAAATAATCTAAAAGCAATGAACTCATTGCCAGCTGGCAATTTTCAGATCGAAAACTCCTTTGTACTCCTCTGATTGATACAGGTGAATCCCCCCTTTTAAAGAAGCCATGCATAACAATAAATTTTGCGTAGAAAAATTCGCGAGAAGTGTGTCATAGGTGCAGAAGGAACGACGACACTTCACTGGAACAATTCAACAGACCCACCACTTAAGCCTTTAGATCTCTACATGTACTAACGCGTACTACTACTAGTAGTAGAGGACTGTACTCAGAGAGCGAGTCCGAGGTGCATGCATGCACAATGCACAGAAAGAAAAAGTACCGGACGTGTGCTTTTCATTCGAGTGCTTTTGGCTTTTGACTTTCAAGAAAAGCAATGGAATAGCAAATGCATTACGCCTTGCATAGCTAGCTAGGCGGCTGGACCCTTCCGTGGAGCTATGCTACGGCAGTAGTGACAGTAGTGCAGCTGTTGACTGTTGTTAAAGGCTTAAAGGCTATAAATTTCCATAGATTCACCTTGTGGCGGTGACATACCGGTAGTCGAACGCCTCCACCAAAGGAAGAAACGCCTCTTTGAGATTTGAAACTTACTTCGAAGTTCGTCACTGGTGCAGCGTTTGAAACGCTTTCGTGAAGTTTCGTTCGACAAACGAAAATTAATTATTTCTTGCCATCTGAAAGCTTAATTAAAGCTTTCTGGCTGTTTTGAAAGCTATTAATTAAAGTAAACTCAACTTGCTAGCTCGTGTCATTTCCGAACCCAAGCACCTCCGGACAATTCGCTTCGTTCTTTGTCGAAGATTAGTCTACGTAAATAAATGCTAATCCAAAAAAGAAATAGAGGCAATTATTACGTGTACGTAAACGTGGTACAGTAGCTTGCGGATTAATAATGAGAAGCCCTCGATGCAAACGGAACAGTACCGGTACTGGTACAGTACCAGCAACCCTACTAGAGTTGGGTTGGAAGCCAGTCAAGCTGTCAATGGATGAGTGATATCTTACTCGAGCTTCGAGTACCAGGTACTGGTGGGTCCTCCAGGGAAGCTACGCCACCGATAACGTTCGAAGCTAGCTACATGTACGGTAGCTTTTGCAAGTCACGGTACCGGTAGAGCTCAACACACCTACATGTACATGTACCTGTAATGGTGAACAGACAAGGTCAGCCATGGAGGCTTGTTAGAAAACACGAATACCAACCATTCAAGCAATGGAATGATCAGATGTTGGGAAAGGTGGACTTTTAATTTTAAACGATGATCAAGCAAGATGGGCACCATTTCCAGTTGCTCCGGAGGAAGTTAGAGGGCTCAGAGTTACACACCTCAAATCCAATGAATCCAACACACATATACACTACATATCATCATCTAGGAATTAATACTACTGGTAGCAGGTCACTCTGAGCCTCGGCAGGGTGGGAATAGCAGCCCCATTGACAGATTTAGAGTTGCACGCAAGGGTTATCCCACCAAATGATACTGCATTGTGTACCACTGAAGACAAACTCACCCAATGAAAAAGATTGAAGGAAAAGCTTGGAAGACTCCTCAAGTACCCTTTGATAAAAATGGCTCATCATCAGTGCAGATAATCTGCATGATGTCAAGTTATACCCGTACATTGATGACAGTGCCTCTGCTGTCTATGCAGATTTCAAGAGCCACACTGGCGTAGCGATGCCAATGTTTTCAGATGCCACCCAGACCATGTCAAGAAAGCAACAGAAGCTTGATACCAGCAGCAGCACTGAAGCATAACTATTAGGTGCTGATGACATTTCTTTCATGATCTTTTGGCCAAGCTGTTTATGAGAAACAAGGGTGTATGAAGTATGAAATCAAGAAAAGATCCTCTATCAACTTGGAAGATGAAGATTAATAGATCTAGACTAACATCCTCCTACTAGAGAACCATGCTAACTTAGAGTGTCAGAACGAGAACTCAAGCCCTCAACATTTGATATCTCTGTTTGACAAGTCAGGCTGACAAGGGCAATGTGTTGATTGAATATTGTTGTACCACCAAAGATGCAAGGATTAGACAACGGGGGTTTTAGAGTAGGGAAATTATCTACGGAAGCCAGCCGGGGCCAGGCTTAAGCAAAGAACAGTCGAAATTCAGGACTAGGTTCTGTGGGATCAGGGGCAAGAAAGTGAGGACCAGTACGGGGGGCAAAGGGTTTGGCTTTGCGGGATCCACGGAGACATAAATGGGTAGCTTTCACAAGGGCAATGGAGATACGGGTCTGCATGAAGAACATCATTTGAGAGTAGGAAAATTGAGTTTTGGAGGCAGTAGCAGAAGCAAGGCGTTGTAAGAGAGTCTTGGCCTGGGGGGCAAGCATGCCATCCACTGAAACAACAAAGCGATGGAAGGAAGCGCGATTGGAATCACACGCTTCTTTATATTTGGAAATTTTGTCCCGTTCTTGTTGGGTTAAAACTTTGACGGGATCTTTGTTTCGGTAAGAGGCACAGGCACAGTCCAAATCAGTGACATGTACGTCAATAATAGCTGTAATTCGTGTTCTGGAAGCCCACTACCGGTATCGAGGATGTGTGCGACAGCAGCAAGAGAGTAACCCCACACGATTAGATCTGCCTTTTGCCACGAGGAAGGGGACGCAGAGCACACATTTTGCTGAGTAGTTCGGGTAAATTTGCCTGCTGGTTGACCATGAACATCTACAATCTATTTCTCTTGGCAGCAAATTGGTTTACCGGATCTACCTAGACCCCAAGGCTGCAGAACAGAACCGTGGTTCACACGGTTCGCAGGCTAGCTAGCAGGGTTCACAAACAAACAAAACAAGGAACCAATTCTGTAATTCTGTACGGTGAAATACTGGTATGCAACATGGCAACGTTCCAGGATGAATCCACAGACTGTGCTATTTGCCTGGGGTTGCTCAGCGACCCAGAGATGGAAGTAATCGAGTTGACGACGTGTGGGCATCGGTGGCATTTGGAGTGCCTCAAAGAGCAGCTGGCTCAAGCACAACCCAATCCAGCTCAGCGCCTAGTCCTTACTGGATGTCGCTGTGCCAAATGTGGTAGCGTCTGTGAGCATCCCAAGTTGGAGCACTTGACACGACAAACAGATGCCCTGCGAGAAAAAGTGGATGCTGTGATACGAGAACAGCTGGAAGACAAGAGCAAAAATGATCTAGCAGCCCTGGAGGATGCCCGTCGAAAGTATGCTGTGTATCTCTGCAGCCATTGCCGTGAACCCTATTTTGGTGGCACCATTGCTTGTGCTGACACGGCTGAAGGAGAAGTACCTCCCGATGAACGACTCTGTGTGGCGTGTGCTCCACAACAACAACAGCAAGCACAATGCCGACACCCTTTGGAACATCGAGGACACCACATTTGGAAGTGTCGCTATTGCTGCAAGGTTGCTACGCATATCTGCTACGGAACGGTCCACTTCTGTGATGATTGTCACGATCGCAATTCGGAACGAGTGGAAATGATTAGACGACAACAGTTGCGACAACGCGAAACGAGGACAACAGACCATCAACCTCCCTCCTGTCTTTCGCCAATTCCATGTCCAGGTGGCGACGCATGTCCATTTCCCAAAAAAGAAGGCCAAACACACCATGAAAACGGAAAGGCTGCTTCCTGTGAACAAGCCTACGGGTGTGGCTGGTGTCAATCCAATCCAACTGCCAATGAACATGCCTTTGTTGCGCCTCCTGGGTCACGAAATTTTCTACAAAATGGCTGTGGACAGCATGGTCATCGCGGATGGCAACAATTCAATCCACGGGCTCGCTGGCAAGTGGAACAAAGTGACACGCCGCTGAGTGATACGATCACTACCAATTTCGTCAGCTCCTTTCAGTGGAGTGCCATGGGTCAATCTGTAGTGCTGTCAAGCTTTCTCCAAAGTAATGAACTGCGCCTTCCACTGGAAGTTTCGGCAAAATACATGGCTCGGACCGACTGTGCTAGTGTCTTTCGCATGGAAGCACTCCTCCTTGGACGCAACAGGGCTGTCTTGCAGCGAAAACGGACAAACACTCTGAATGCCCCTGCTGACTTCTGGGAAAGGGCATCCTTGACTTTGGAGCCCATGGCAGGAGCATATGAAGTTGCTATTGTTGTGTACGGAAAGGATGTGCCATTTTGGCAAGGGAACTTTGGCAGCAAGGTCACAGATTGCCAGATTCGCGTCTTGGGTACTCCGGAAGAGCTCCAAAGAGACTTGCGGCCCGAAAATGAAATACGCGCTCGAGCTGGAGGTGAGACAACAATCGGCAGTGCTTAGTTACTAGATCTATCTGTGCAGCAATCACGCAAAATGAAAGCACTCAACTCAATCGATGGTTCTTTTGTGTCCCCCTCGTTTTGAAAGGTTGGCTGAGGGGTCAAGGGCCAGTGGAAGCTATGGAGAGAAGTTGGTGGCGGAAGCACATCGCGGAGATTGCTCTTCCGGTGATGTGCTTCATCGTCTTCGCGTGGCTGTTTCAGTAGAGGGACGTATTTAGTCTCGAGTTGAATGGAACGTGGTTATAGAACGGAATCAATCCATGAAAAGTTGATACAATGTAACAGTTATAAAGTTAACAACTGGGGCTGTTTATGATATGCTCTTGGCGTCACTGGCTACTAGCTTCAGAGGCTGTGTCTGATTCGTCTGTCAGAACGGAGCTAGATTCAGATTCATCGCTCAAGGGGTCCGGCTTGGAGGGCATTTCCTTTGCCTCCTTGGCTAATTGCGGATCATCTGCATCGCCTTTGGACAGCACCTTGACCAATAGCTTGACGATCATATATGACCACAGGGTGTTCAAGGCAATGAGAGAGCACAGCAATGCCCGGAAGATCACCCAAGCGAACTCTGTCATACCCCCGGCGAACAAAGGCGCTGTTTCCGTAAAGGCGCTGTACACATAGACACCAGCATAGAGGTACATGCGGCACACGAACCATGAAATGACAAATACACAAAGTGCAACCTTGCTGGAAGTCTTGAATTCCAATGTCTTCAAAATCTTTGCCAAGTCCTTGGGACATCTGTGATCATGTGCATGGTTGAAACGATGACTCCAATCCTTGACAGGCTGTAGAGAGTTGACCCGTACAGGAGGATCGCAGTGACAATGTGGTGAATGATCATTTCAACATAGTCCTTTCGGGTGGACTTTCCTTCAATGAGCACTCCAGCCAAGTCTTCCACATGGTATGCAAGTTGCAACAGATAGAGAATCTGGACAGTGTTGCTGGCCACATGGTGTGGGTAGCCCTCCCAGATGAGGCTAGTGGTGTGCCAGTAATCAGGAGATTGCCAGTATTCATATAATCCCAGACCCGTCACCACGCATCGAAAGAGGAATCGGAACGAAAAATCACTAAAGTGCTGGATGCTGTCCTGGTTTTGCTCCACCCACTTTTGTCCATGTGCTGCCCGTCCCAAACGAGTTCCCAGTTGCTTCAGAAGAGGAAGCAACACATAAGAGCGGCTGAGGCGAACCAAGACAATTGTCAGCACCAAAGCAACTTTATAGTGTGGCTGAGTCACATCCTGAAATGGCAGCAGATTGTTGTGGCATGATGATGATGATTCTAGTGTGCAGGTATCCATGGTTGTCAACAGATGATGATAGAATCTGTTGGTATGCGTATGTGAATTGCAGATGGAAGCTACTGTAAATGAATGGATGTCGAAATTTTATGACAGCAGAATAATACGGTAAGCAAGAGCAATACTGCCCTGGTCTGTTTCCTTGCCAGTTTGATAGCCTTCGGATGTCAATAGATAACAAGGGTGCAATCAGAACCTTGGTTGCCTGGGCCTGAAGCCGTGAGAATCACGATGTACCGGTTTTCGCTGCATACTGCGGTATGATAGCTAGTATCGTATCTCGACTCTCTTGCTTACAGCTTTGGTATTCCGGTAGTTGAGGTAATCCAATTCAAAAACATTTTGTACCATTTTTAAAACTCTAATCCAACGTTTACCTAGCCTACCCGTAAAAAGCTGTCTTGCGTTGGAGGTACTTATTTGCGTGACCGCAAAAATCGAGCCACAAGACCCAGGACCAGATTTATCGCTCTACACGGCTTTGCAAAAGTTGTCGTGGGGCTGGAAAATTCACTCGCCATCGGCAGTACAATTTTGGTGAGGGAGGCTGTCGTTGGTAGCGCTTTTCTATACTTGACTTGACAGGCCCCATAATTGACTTGACGGGCCAGCATAGACTTGGACGCTACATAGAAGGGGTTTCTGTCCCGCAGGTGTGCAAACACTGGAAAAGGGAATACACGTGTAATGCCTCGTCCGCCTATTTGGGATGGGCGCTCAATACCGGTAGGTCACACCACACAGTCACATCAGATGCTACAAAACTGACGATCGAGTTTGCCATGGTGCCATCCATCATCAGTCGTCAGGTGCAGGGGACGCAAAAATAAAGCAACCCTTGTAAACTGACAGCAGCAAGTCATGCTACAGTATGGTACAACAAAGCTATGCATTGCCACCATACAAGAACGGTATGACATGGTCTAGGATCCAAGATGACAGCGAGGTTTTGAATTGTGCAGCTGGTTTTGAGGAATTGCAAATTTCACGGTTTTGCTGCGCAATTTGTGGTTTTGGCTATTATTAAAGTACTCAGTAGTATTTTCAAGGTTTCTGAGATCGCCATTCAAAACTACTATTAAACGGTAAGCGACCACCTCATCGCGAGTCGAGTCGAGTCGGTTTCTGCGTCGCCATTTATGCGCAAGAACGACTACTCCTACTTTTTTAAAACGGCCACCTGATTATAATACATCGTACAGTACCATGTACTATAATAGTACCTGATCGCGAGCCATTCCATAAGTCTACGACGACATTGCGAAGTCCCGTTTTTAAATGATTTAAGTCCGATCTAGTTTATTCGCGGAAAACTCGTCGAAAAAACCGTAAAAAACCAAAACCACGAATTTCGGGAAAACCGCAAGTTTGGTCATTCCTTACCGCTCCGGGCTCCGGGCCTTCGCCACTGGCTAGGTAGAGTCTCCCTTTTGCGTTCCTGCCTCCAACCTGTCGCTGGAAAGCAGAGGCTCAGTTAGCTCGGCCACGCATGAACTGTTGCCTTCTTCCAACGAGAGTCTTGTAACAAGCTGACCCCGCCTTGGATTCAAAGCCGCTGGTTCTTCGTGTGGCTGATTGGACCTGGTCACCGCGCCGACAGCATCGCCTGAAGGAGTGCTGCCAATGCCAGCAGCTGGCCGCGTCGAGCGACAAGCAATGACCGGCGGCTTGTACAGCCTCAGTGCCAGGCTGCTAAAAACAACGCTCACCGAACTCAGCGCCATGGCCAAAGCTGCAACCGTGGGTGGGAGTCGGGCATGAAGGAGTGGAAAACTTACTCCTGCAGCCAGGGGGATGCCAAGACAATTGTAGATCAGTGACCACACCAGGTTCCATTGGATCCTGGCAAAGATGCTACGGCACAGGTCCAAGGCGATGCAAACATCGGCCACGTATTGCCCGCGGACCAAGACCATATCCGATGCCTCTGCTGCGATTGCAGCTCCTGTTCCCATGCTGATGCCTACATTAGCTTGGGCCAACGCCGGACTGTCGTTGATGCCATCGCCAACGTGAGCAACAATCTTTCCCTGCTGCTGCAGCTTTTTAACTTGATACACTTTTGCATTCGGCAGGGCCTCTGATACGACGCGTTGTGGAGGAAGATTGAGCTGTCTCGCGATTGCTTGCGCAGTGCGAGCATTGTCTCCAGTGACCATCCAAACATCGATCTTCATTTCATTCCGCAAGTAGGCAACAGCTGCCGCAGCGTCGGGTTTCAGCTCATCAGCAACGCCAAGCAGCACAGTGAACTCATAATTCACGGCAGCAAGAATTGCAGTCTTCCCCTGCTCTTCCAGCTCTTTCATTTGATTGTCAATTTCCATTGTAAGCTCAATATCTAGTGTAGCAAAAAAAGCCCTGTTTCCAACGGCCACAAAGTAGCGCTTATCGTCCCGTCCTGGAATCGTCAGGTATCCAGAAGCTCCTCGGCCTGTCATAGAACGAAACTCTGACGGCTGCAGAAAAGGGTTCTTTTCGAGGTATGCTGGTCCTTTGATTGACTGGGACAGAACTTCTTCTGCGTGTGAAACGATGGCCTTTGCCAGAGGGTGTTCGGATGACCTCTCCAGGGACCCAAGCAGCCACAGAATCGTCTCTTTCGATAGCGGCTTTTCGTCCAATAGCGATGGCGGACTCTTCCTCTGCGCGTTGCCACAGCCGTCTTCGCCAGCGTTTCCGCTCTTTTGCAACAAGAGGAAATCTGTGACCGCCGGTTTGCCCGTTGTAACTGTGCCTGTCTTGTCCAAGACTTTTGAAATGGAAACACATTGTGAGCAAGGCATTTCTGCAATCAAAACCTGTAGCTAGCTCTCTGATTTGAACCTACCGACAGCTGAGACTTGACTAGCAGCTTCGAACGCTTCACCTCCTTTCATCAGCACTCCCAGCTTTGCCCCCACGCCAGTCCCGACCATTATGGCTGTGGGTACAGCCAGCCCGAGGGCGCAGGGACAACTGATGACGAGAGTCGCTATCCCAAACATCAAGCTGAACGTAGCAGCGTCTTCATCCAGGCGGCTGTACCACTCTTCAGGCACAACACCTGAACTGCACAGAGCGTACCAAACCAGAAAGGTGATGAGGGATAACGTGGCGACCACCGGGACGAATACCGAACTGACTGTATCCGCGAAATTTTGCATGGGAACTTTGGAAGCCTGGGCATCTTGGACCAACTGAATGATTTGTGCCAAAGCAGTGGAGGAGCCAACCCCCGTCACTTCGCAAAATGCAACCTGTCCTGCTTTGGTAGAAGGATTCTCGGCGTCAGCTTGCTCCGTGGTCTCACGCACTGTCGTCTCGCCGGTAGTTGTTGTGGAAGACTCCACACAGACAGTCCCTCCCAGAACCACCGAGCTCTTTGTCTTGAGGACGGGCAAAGACTCGCCTGTCACCATGCTTTCATCCACTGCCAACTCTCCAGCCAACACAACGCCATCTGCAGGTAAACTGGCTCCTGGAACAATTTTGACAAAATCACCCCGTTGCAATTGGTCCGTTGGGACAACTTCCTCTCGATATGCTTCTGTCATGGGATCCCAAGTGATGCCGTCACCATTTTTGGTTGCTTCCACGGGCACAACTCGAATGGCAGTTGATGGCTGCAATTGCATCAAGTGGCTCAGAGCGTCACTGGTGCGATGGACGGCCACTGCCTGCATCCACTTTCCTAGCAACACAAAGCAAATCAAGACTGCGCTAGTCTCAAAGAAGTGTGATTCTTGCTCTTGATTGCACAGCGTCGCGTAGAGAGCGTATCCCCAAGAAGCCGTGCTGCCGAGGCATACGAGCACGTCCATATTCAGGGTTCCAGAGCGAAAGAATCCGTAGTATGTCCCCTTATAAAAATCAAGACCACAAATGAATTGAACAGGAGTTGCAAGAACGAATAACAGCAACGACTCGAGCGGCATTGTAATACCAAACAAGTGAATATGCTGACGATCCCACCACTGGACCGATGCAGTCGGCAGAACATGCGGCAGAACCATTGTCAGCAGAATGATGGGAGTTGTCCCAACGAGACTCCACAAGAAAGCACGTTTTCGTTCTTGCACTTTTTCTTCTTGTCGTTGAGCAATGCGATTCCACCGATCTTGTTGCGTGTTGCCCGAACTGGGACTCTCGCCCCCATTGCTTCCGTTTGATACTGGAGCATTATTTGATTCCAACCATGGATTGTTGTTGCCTCCTGCAGCATCTCCCGTGGTGGATGGAGCAGGTAAAAGCTCCTGGTTTGGCATTTTGATGACATCCACAACCATGTATCCAATGTCTGAAATAGTTTCTTCGACTTGTTCCACCATTTCTGCGTAGTTTCTGCTTGGGTCAAATTCAATATGAGCAATATCAGTCGACAACGAGACCTTGACACCCGAAACCCCGTTTGTGTTTTTCATGGCGCGGGTGATGGCTTGACTGCACATGGTACACGTCATGCCTCCTACAACAATGTCCACAAAAAGAGGGGGCGTTTTTTGTTGTTGTTGATGATTGGCTTCCAGGTCGTCGGGGATTGCGCTGTCCATGGTCGGAGGTGCTTTCAAAGGATCATCCACGGACATTATTGCTGTGGAGTCCGTACTAGCGGAAGCAAAAGCAGCTCTGGTGGAAGCATTATTATTTTGCTGTTGTAGTTGTTGATTTGTGCACTCCAACAGCAAGGATGCTTGTTCGGTCATCAAGGGGTTGCTGCATCTACAATTGGGTCCACACTGGCAGTAAGACCAGCCATTTTCTCTGCAACAACGACAGTCGTCGCCACAACCGCAGCAGGTGGTAGTGGGGGTGGATATTATCATCGGAGTAGAGGACACCAATGACGAAACGGTGGGTGTCTTTTTGGCTTTGCTGGCACAACAACTTCCTGCTGGCTTTGGAGGCGATTTTGGAGGGCTTTTGAGTGCGACATCTTCTTGAGTTTTCACTGGTGTAGAGTCCTGATTTTCGGGATGGTTGTTGGTTTCACTCATGGCTGCCTGCTTGTCTTCCTCTCCGTCCTTTTTGTTTTGTGAACTGCAGCAACTTTTCTGAGGCGAAGCAGCCTTTGGTTCTTCTTCTGTCTGCTCCTTGTCGTTTTCCTCAACCCCGCATTCGTTTTTCGTTTCTTCAGAGCTGTTGGTACCAGTCGTGACGGACTTGGCGGTGGCGTTGATTTGGTTGCTGTTCGGACTGGCAAGAATGCTGTTAAAGCTCTCCCCATTCCCGTACTGTTTCTTAGTTTGAGGATTGGGATCCGCCGCAGGCATTGTCTCGGCAGTTGTGTTTCCCTCTTCTTCCTTGTTGACGAACAAATCACAGAAACTCGAAGTGGTGGTTACTTCCGCCGTGCTTTCGACCAAGTCTGTGATGGTAGACGCCACATCGCCACAGCAGCTACTTGAGTCCGTTTGCTGGGTACTACTAGCCGCCGTTTGCTCTGGTGGGGGTTGTTGCTGTTCCGACTCCTGCTGCCGCTGGGAGACAGGATTGATTTTATCTTTCTTTCCTCTCTTCTTCTTCTTGGCCATGGCTGCACTCTTCTTTCCTGTCTATCGGTCGGTAGTACCTCCAAGTAATAATTGGAGTTGCAATAAAGATGATGTCTCTCACCACTCAACATGCGGCTGCAGTACCGGTACTCGTAGCGCGGCACAATGGTACTGCAATGCATGGTGGACCTCCAAGGATCGGGATCGAATCCCTTCATCAAACCAGCAGAGCGTCAAAATACATCTTTTTGGAGATGGCCGTGACTCTATGCTTGCTTGATGTATGAAGCCAGCAGAGGACCAAGCCGAGTGGGGAGACAACGCTTTTGGACAAGGATAAGCTGGATCCGGCTCTGCGAAGCCAGGAGATATGATACCCAAAGGCTACCAGTAGCGTTTGAAATTATCAAGCTCATTTTTAGAACCACTTGACTATTATTTTTACGTTTATCGCACCGGTACCGGTACTTTGTTTATCATGCATTCATACAACGAAGAAGGATGGGATATTCATTCACTGAACCTTCATACACCTGGCACCAACGGGGCTGACTGACTAGAATCCCAACAAGAACAAAAGGGCAAAACCTGTTACACAGACGACCTTCTGTTCACTGTTCCACACAATCCTTCCAGACGAAGAGTGAAGGGCACCTTCAAGCTCCTCTTTTGTTGCTTGGTCATTACTGGCATCTTGTTTGTCAACGGCTAGCTCGTTTTCCGGTTCGCTGCTGGAATTCGTGATGCTGGGGGAGTTGACATCAACACTATCAAAGGGAAACGCTGCACATTGGTGTGTCTTTTCCGGCAGAGCTTCCAGTTGACTCGTTCCAAGGGAAAACACCAACACAGGTAGACTGCTATTGGAGGCTTCCACAGATGATGATGATGAACGAAGGAAGGATGTGGTGATTTCGTTCCTTCCAGCGGGCACCGGCTTCCATTCGACCAATGGAGTCACATCACTCTGGTCAGCAACAACGTTGGGGTTACCCGACTTTGCAAAGTTGGCAAACCTTGTCATAATCTCGTCGCTGAGATCCCAATCCTCTTGGGTCAGTGACCCGTTCACAAAGTCATGTACCCAACCATCCAAGGTACCAAAGACAAACGGATTCATGGCCAAATGCGAGGACCAAGTTGTTGTGTCAACGAACGGTGCCAATCCAAAGAACATCATGGGATCAGTGATGCTAAAGTGAGCAAAGTTGTACATGTATACGTTTTCGGGGACCAGCGGAGCCACGTGAGAAGCAAAGGCTCGAGTTGGACAACGGATGTACCAATCGCCATGGAACTGGCTGAAGGCTGCTGTGACATCGTTATCGTAGTTGTCCTCAGCATTGTACGCGTCCCAAACATCCGCAGCTATTTGAGAACCGTACATGCTCCCAACAAGCGAGTGAATGGACTCGTTCAAACCAAACTCGGCAAGTTGCAGATATATGTCTGTAGAAACGCCCATAAAGGTTGTGTCTTCGTTCGAGTTGGCTCCAACCAAGAATGCAGATGGGACAATGTTTTCTGGGTCCTCATAAAGGACTCGTGGGTGTTCCGGAAGAATTTCACGATCCAAGACAATGACAGACCAGCCAACTGCAGCCGACATAAAGTTCAAGCTCGCGGCATCCACTAGAGAAGAATTCTTGAGTTCATCCAATGACACCACGCCGGTAGCATTAATCAGATTGGAGACAGCTTCAAAGGCATACTCGTAGTCTTCATTTGGGACATCTCTCATCCAGTGGTTGAACCTGCACTCACCACTCTGAAGAACAGCTCGGTGAAACAAACCTTTCGCAAGCGGAGAAACGGAAAGCATGCAGATGGACTCGCCCCCAGCACTCTCTCCAAGCAGTGTTACTTCGTCGACGTTGCCACCAAACCCTGCTGCATTTGATTGAACCCACTTCAGTGCCATCAATTGGTCATAAATGCCATTCATGGCGCCTACTCCAGTGTCATCCTGAGGCAGGAATCCAAGCGCCCCCAACCGATAGTTCAGCGTTATCACCATGACATGTTGACTGCGTGCTAGGTTGGAACCATTGTAAACCGCATCGGCTCCAGAACCAATCATAAAACCTCCTCCGTGAATCCAGACCATGATGGGCAACGGTTCTTCGAGAGAAATATTCGACGGGCGCCAAATATTCAGATAGAGGCACTCCTCTGCTTCCTGGCGAGGCTGATAGAGAAACTCGGGCAACCCGGGATAAGCCTGGTGACAGTTACTGCCATACTCCTTTGCTATTGTTTCAACGTCATCGGGAAGATCCAATTGAATGCTTCTTGAAAACCTATCGCCGACGGTGGCATACTGAATACCCAAAAATGAATCCACCCCGTTTTCAGAAGATCCAATAACCGAAGCACCAGTTGGGAAGTCGACAGCCAATGGGGTTTGCGCTGTGGCGAGTTTGGCTGTGGCAAAAGCGACTGCCAAGGTGAACCCAGTGAGCTTCATGTTTCGTCTTTTTTCGTTGTGTTGTGTGTTGTGGAATTGTTGAAAGTTGAGATAATGAGCTCGAGATCGTTCATTGCAGAAAACCGCTGATCGAGTCAAGTCAAGTCCCACTTCAAAAAAGATCCACTCGTGGCGATCAGGATCATCGTGGACTCCCGACACCAGGAACCAATAAGCCATCGGAGCTGTTGTACCTCGACTGAAAGACAGTACAGTATGGTACATATACATGTAGAAAAAGGAGAACATTGCGCCCTTCTTTGATGCCGGCCCTACTAGCTAGCAACAACAGCATGACAGTTCCCAGCCCTAACGCAGAAGCGAGCCAAAAATACGTCTATGCATCAGTCCTCCACAGCTCAAGAAAGCCACATGTAAAAGGGAACCGTGGCAGTACCTGTACCGGTACCTGGAGACGTCTGCAACATACCATTCGGCTTGCACGGAACCATAATGGTTGGCGGGAGTTACATTGATGCACAATCGGTTAGTGGTGGGCTTTGTGCTAGCTAGTCAAGTCTCATCCCTTCTTTGTTGCTCAGAACGAATAGTCTAACTTGCTGCTTCAGCCTCGTGATGGGAAGATGCAAAGCAATGTAACGGAACAGAAATTATTGCGCTGGTTTCCGCAGTACATCTGAAACTATGCACTTTTTGTAGACGCAACGAGCATTAGCAGCCGGAACACCCCACGATGCGGCATATGCCATAGAACCGAGAACCGACACCGCCAAAGAGAGCTTCCGTCGCTTCTTCTGACCCTCAAACTTATAGCGCTCTCATATGCCCTGCTGTGCAGTCCAGTCCAGCCGTATCCGGTTTTCAACACCCGCTTTGATTCTTGTCAATGATCTTGATGCGGCATCCCAGGTGGTTCTCGCAGAGCTTATGTGTGACCGGCTGCTGCTGGAGGGCGAGAAAGGGGTGGAAGGCAGTGATCTGATTGGCTAATCAACCTATGACATCAGCAAAGGCGTCAGCAAATATTCAAATATACTTAACGTACCATTTATAGTTATTACGGATACAATGTGCTATAAAGTTCGAAAATTCGTTGTTGTTTTCGGAGAGGAAGAAGATTCCGTTGAAGAAGATCGACAATCGACAATGACAACACCACCGGCAACACCACCGGAGAGCCACTCGACAGTCATTATCTCGGCCAAAAAAGCGAGTAGCAGCAGCAAAAGATCATCATGGATAACACAACAACAACAGCTACCACAACTGGCGCTGCACAACAGGAATGGGTTGCCAAGCCAGAATAGAAACTCCCAGCAGAAGAGAGCATATCAACACGCCTCCAACAACAACAGATCGAAGAGCCAGAGAGAAGGACCCAAACAACTCTGGGAGGAGTGGTAGCAAAGTCTTTGATCCACTCAAGAATGTGTCATCTGTAAGGCCAGACATCTTGGTCTCAGAGTCCCCAAGAGATCACACTCTGTCTTCTGTATTAAGATAAAATAACAAAAGGACAAGGCCTTTGAATGCGCTGACCATGGAGACAATCAAAGAAGCAGAAGACTCACCAGCAATTCAGTGCTCCTCTACCACTGATGAGAGAGGAAGCTGGAGGCATCCACAGAGAAAATGGAGGCATTCTTTGCTGCTAGAACCAACACGCCAAAGCCACATCCACTCCAAGAAAGAACAAGGTAACGACCACTCCAGCAGTCTTCTGTGAGAAAGTCACAGCTCTTGTTGAAGATGCTGCCTTTGTGGAAAAGCACAAGACCAAAATAGCCCCTCTGGCAATGATAGCAATGGCAGAAGAGTGTCAGAATCATTACAAGGTCAAAAACCAGGAACTATTCCAGCAACATTTTGATGGACTCACCTTGACAATCCCACCACAAAGGAACAATTCGAGTCTCCTCACTACCACTCCATTGTTGGCCAGAAACTCTTAGTGGACTGGAATCGATGTGGAATTACAGTTCCTTGTCCCGATGGAAGATGTCTGGCAAACTCAAGAATACAAGGACAAAATGGTCACACAACAAGACCTTGTTCCCCATCTTTGGCATCACTGGTCCTCCTTCTTGGTGTTATGTCATGTCCATGGTTTGTGAAGCTGAACAGAAGATTCGATGCCAACTCTGCAGAAGTCCTGGTCTCGATCCCAGATCATGCTTCATTGCTCTATCCAGTGGATCAAGTATGCTTTCTAAAAGGCTTTCACTAGAGAGAACAGCAACAGAAGTATTCGATCTATCATGTTAACCTATGGAAATGGAGACCTATGCAGCGCCTCATCTACAATGCAATCAACAGAGAGTATCTTAGAGCCATATGTCTTACTTCCATACTGGCAAGGAAGCGACACTGATACTGATCCCTTTCTTCAAAAGGATGGCACTTACATCAGACAGTTTCCTCCCCTTGGTGACATCCGTGACTCTATATGAGGTTGTGCTTCAAAAGGAATCCGTGGAGGATCAGTGACAACACAGCACACAGAGAGATCAAAGTGTCAGTTGCAACAAAGGATCTTCTGCCAAGACCATACATTCCAGGTGATCAAGAACTACTCCAAGAGTCTTGGTCTGCTGCTGTTTGTGTGCTGACTGAGACTGGTGAGAGTTGCATGTGCTGTTCTTGTTCCCACCACCAAGACCATCCACTTCTCTCATGCTGCATGCAGCTAGCAAGGAGGAGCCACTTCAACCCAGCTGCCATGTACAGGATACCTGGCCCACAAGGATGACTACTGGGAGATACTCTTTCCAGAATCGAGGGAAGCTTGGCCTGTTTCATTATGAGAAGAGATCCTGTCAACTTTGAGAAAGGGACACATTGATCACTATCAAGCTATGTCAGACCTCTTGGATTGCTTGTATGTGTACTCACCTGATGACTATGAGAAGCTGCTGCATGCTCTGAAACATGGTCTACTATCCACCAATGGCAAGTGTTACTCTATGGCTGAGATCTCCGACATGCAAGCCTCAAGGTCTTCAGAAATCGGTACTCCAAGTATCTAAGGAAGCAGATGAGGTCACCAGAAACAATTAGACAGAAGTTGCAACAGTGGTTCTGCAGATACAAGGTGACAGCCAGTGATGGTAGCCAGCCAGGACAGGGCCGACTCGATCCAGTCAAGAACTTTACCTTGTTTACTTCTGATACCAAACCAGCAGTAGAGAACTGCGTTGACAAAGCCATTCACTTGGCTGATCCCCTGGCACTGGAAGACATGTATGACACAATCCAGCCATCTCCCAACTCCAAGCACAAGCTCCAGAGTACCTATCAAGGAGAGGAAGTAAAGTTAGAGGCTTTCCAGCAAGTTTGCCACTTTGGCAATGGGGAATGAGAAGAAGCTTGCTGATGCACTCAATCTTGCTGGCACTGCTAGATACAACCTCAAGATTCGCCACAAGAGAGCCTTTCTGTCAAGAATCAGCGAGCAGAAAGAAGTCAATTCCAGCTGGAGGGAGAAGGTTGTTCCTTACTGGAACCATTCGAGTTGGCTTACCTAATGACATGGCAGAGGCTTTGGTCTGGATGCACCATTTCCAAATGCAGAAACACTGCCAAGGAAACTGGAGAAGATCTTCTTCAGAGTCATTGTTGCATTCAAACCACAAGGCAGAAGTATGCACCAAATGATTGTTGTTTGTGTGTGGCTTGTACAGGACCAAAACCACCGACTCCACCAGCAATCGAGCACCAAATCCACCAGCAATCGATCCACCGACTCCACCAAACACCCCCCCTCCACCACCACCACCACCTTAGTGCCACAAACAAGAAATGTTTATGTTGGTAATTTGATTCTATACCAGCAACAACAACAACTTCAAATGATGCAACTGCCATGCAAATGCGGCAATTCCAACCAATACTTCCATCTCCTTTCCAGCCACCTCCCAACCGAATGGCTGCTGTCAGAGTACTGCCAGTGGTTGACTCATAGGAGAGGAAGACACCTCATGATCTATTGCCAATCAAGATTGACTGGGTATGGGAGTAGCAACAAGCAATCAATTTTAGATCCACCAAATTCATTTCTAATTTAGCAGTAACTTACATATCATTGCCAATGAAATCAACAACCATAGTCTCACTCATCTCAGTACATTTCTTGAAGGAAATCTTCTTCTTGTAGTCAATCCAGTGGCAACAATAATAATGCCAAGCATCCATCACACTCTGTCCTTCGAGGGAGGACAACTCATAGCTCTCACTGACCCCTTCCCTCACTAACCAGTAGATGCACTCAATGAAGATGTCCTTCCTTTCACAGGGATGTGGCGACTCCAACATTTCAGAAAGGGTAGAATGACAGCCTGTACCATTGGACTTTTCTGAAGGCCTGAAGCAACATGTAATCCAGTGATGTCGGTCATGGCAGGAGGAAGTGGCTTGCATGCTCCTTGCAATATCAACTCCTCAAGAACGGTCACTTCCATGCTGGTTGTGGCCAAACAGAAGTTATCCTCCTCATCATGATCTGATTGGCTAATCAACCTATGACATCACAAATAGTCAGCAAATATTCAAATATACTTAACGTACCATTTATAGTATTACGATCAAATGTGCTATAAAGTTCGAAATTCGTGTTGTTTTCGGAGAGGAAAGAAAGTTTCCGTGAAGAAGATCGACTCGACAATGACAACACCACCGGAAACACCACAGGAGACCACTCGACAGTCATTATCTCGGCCAAAAAAGCGAGTAGCAGCAGAAAAGATCATCATGAAACACAACAACAACAGCTACCACAACTGGCGCGCCACAACAGGAATGGGTTGCCAAAGCCAGAATAGAAACTCCCAGCAGAAGAGAGCATATCAACACGCCTCCAACAACAACAACAGATCGAAGAGAGAGCCAGAGAAAGAAGGACCCCAAACAACTCTGGGAGGAGTGGTAGCAGAAGTCTTTGATCCACTCAAGAAGTTGTCATCTGTAAGGCCAGACATCTGGGTCTCAGAGTCCCCAAGAAATCACACTCTGTCTTCTGATTAAGAATACAAATAACAAAAGGACAAGGAACCTTTGAATGCGCTGACATGGAGACAATCAAAGAAAGCAGAAGACTCACCAGACAATTCAGTGCTCCTCTACCACTGAATGAGAGAGGAAGCTGGAGGCATTCCACAAGAGAAAATGGAGAAGCATTCTTGCTGCTAGAACCAACACGCCAAAGCCACATCCACTCCAAGAAAGAACAAGGTAACGACCACTCCAGCAGTCTTCTGTGAGAAAGTCACAGCTTTGTTGAAAGCTGCCTTTGTGGAGAAGCACAAACAAAAATAGCCCTCTGGCAATGATAGCAATGGCAGAAGAGTGTCAGAATCCATTACAAGGTCAAAAACCAGGAACTATTCCAGCAACATTTTGATGGACTCACCTTGACAATCCCATCCACAAAGGAACAATTCGAGTCTCCTCACACCACTCCATTGTTGGCCAGAAACTGCTTCAGTGGACTGGAATCGATGTGGAATTACAGTTCCTTGTCCCGATTGGAAGATGCTCTATACATGTAGAAAAAGGAGAACATTGCGCCCTTCTTTGATGCCGGCCCTAGCTAGCAACAACAGCATGACAGTTCCCAGCCCTAACGCAGAAGCGAGCCAAAAATACGTCTATGCCTCAGTCCTCCACAGCTCAAGAAAGCCAATGTAAAAGGGAACCGTGGCAGTACCTGTACCGGTACCTGGAGACGTCTGCAACATACCATTCGGCTTGCACGGAACCATAATGGTTGGCGGGAGTTACATTGATGCACAATCGGTTAGTGGTGGGCTTTGTGCTAGCTAGTCAAGTCTCATCCCTTCTTTGTTGCTCAGAACGAATAGTCTAACTTGCTGCTTCAGCCTCGTGATGGGAAGATGCAAAGCAATGTACGGAACAGAAATTATTGCGCTGGTTTCCGCAGTACATCTGAAACTATGCACTTTTTGTAGACGCAACGAGCATTAGCAGCCGGAACACCCCACGATGCGGCATATGCCATAGAACCGAGAACCGACACCGCCAAAGAGAGCTTCCGTCGCTTCTTCTGACCCTCAAACTTATAGCGCTCTCATATGCCCTGCTGTGCAGTCCAGTCCAGCCGTATCCGGTTTTCAACACCCGCTTTGATTCTTGTCAATGATCTTGATGCGGCATCCCAGGTGGTTCTCGCAGAGCTTATGTGTGACCGGCTGCTGCTGTTTGGTGTCTCCGATGCAAAAGGCAGGCCAGAGTTGGGCATAGGGCATGGCGTCGGCTCGCAACAACCCACGGTTGGATCTGCTAGCTCAGTTTGTTCGAATTGGCTGCAGTTTCACAAGCCCCACTTGCTTGTGGATTGCGCACCTTACCTCCCTCCACCTGGCACCCGTCAGGCCAAAGAGCCTGCAAGGATTGACTTGGTCTACTCAGCTCTACTCTTAGTTTTGGTTTCATGTGGTCTTGAACCCTGTTGCCTGTACATGATCTTTCATTTACTCATGCTTTCAGGCACAAGTAGTCTTGAACGGTTACATGTGTAGCTGTTGTTCGTTGAATTGTGTGATCAGTGTGCCGGTACTAGCTAGAGTCTATTCAGAAGCTGCATGCATGGCGCTTGGGCTGCTACACTGGTATTAGTCTCTGTGGGCCACCTTCGCTTCGCTTTCAGCAGACTGCCTGTTTACAAGTAAGCAAGCTTCTGTAAGAATGCTGGAAGGACAAAGATACGACCACACGAGCTCCACACGACCACTGCGGACTGCGGACGGTTGCTGAACCTGAACCAAGCATCGATGACTCCGAGTCGTTGACATTTAAGCTTATTTACGACACATTTCTGGCAGACGACACACGAAGATAAGTCTAATCTGAGAGTTCTACTGTTCTACTTTCCCCTGACGACTCTTTTCATAAATCTAGAATTTACGGAAGTGTAGCTGTTTCTTTAAGATAGTATTGCTCGAGAAGTTTTACGAGAACTGAAACTGGCAAACTGGATTTAACAGTCATGAAGTCGCGGCTTCTTCAGTAATCGTCTTACTGATGTGAGTTCTAAAGAGCTGCGGATCAGAAAGCCCTTTAGTCAAGAAATCCCCGCTTGTTGTTCTGGATTGTTCATTCCTGAAGAGCAGGTAAACGTCCGTGGCTGAATGAATGTCCGACTTCCGACTATGCAGCTCAGCAGCTCAGCTCTTATTTAGCCGTCATATCAGCTATTCAGGCGACTTACTGAGTACTTGTGCAGATTCACCTCCACGGTTGTTCCAGGAACACAAGCTTCAGAAAATCATGTTTAAAATGGTGTGCCCGAAGCCCGAAGTATGCCAACCAATTAATTAACGATTAAGGACCTCTCGCACCACTGAACGTACATAATGTATCGTAGTTTGCGTTTTGGCGTTTTGGCACTTAAGCCTCTTATCTGCTGATACTCTGCTGATGCTGCATGACACTGAAGCATTAGTCTGCATTTTGGCACTTGAGCCTGTCGAACGTTACGCCGCATCAAGGAGACAACCAGTTCGAGGCTCCTTTGGCGCAAAGCAATTTTGTCTGGTCTTGCCGGCACCTTTGAAGCACCTGCACTCTCTATCTCTCGTTTCTCCTTGCTCTCACTATCATAAATTCCAATCCAAGCGAACAAGAAAAGACCTTGCAGTTGGCAGTCCACATCATTATCTACAACAGATCCACACCTCGTTTGTTTCCATGAACAATTTTACAAACAACGGAAACAACAGAACTGATCCACGCAATCGCCCAAACGAAGCAGAAATGAAGCAAGTTGACCCTCAAGATGCTTCTGGACGCCTCCTTCAAGCTGAGGCAATTCGTCGGGAGCTTGATCGCTTGAACAATCACAGCTACAATCACTCACACTTGCAGGTAACAGGTAACAGAGCCATTGCTTTCCCCCAGCAGCAGTTCCTGGGGGGACGACAAGCAGACTCCAGACTTGCAATGGAACAGGCTCTTTTGGGCGCTCACCAGCGAGGACTAGCGTCCCGTACCTCCTTTTTGGTTGGGGATCTTCACGCAAGGCAGACAGCACATGCTGCTGCCGCTGTTGCATTGCTTGGAAGCAACCGCGTTCCTCCCCCCGCAAGCCAGTTGCTGATGTATGGAGGTGACAGTCGCCACCAGCTTCAAGCAGAGAATCTTTTGATGGAGCAACAGCGCCAAAATGTACTGATTGGAGCTGGTGCCCCGGCATCGATAGCGCTCAGCAACGCCAATGCCTTTTCCAGTGCTAATCGATCAAGTGGAACGACCCTTCAGTTCGAAGGTAATCAGTCCATTTTTAATCAATCAGGGCAAAGCCTAGAAGGAAGGATTGCCTCTCCTGCGGACCTTTTGAGCGGAGACGTCGGGCTTCGCTCTTCATCGGCATTGGCAAGTGAACCCAAGGAAGAAGCAAAGGTTGCAAGGCTGCCGGCTCGTGAGAATGCGGATGAAGATGACGAGGACGGCGATGTATCAGACCAAGATGAGGATGCCTTGGACGATGAAGCCTTCTACCGAAAGCGAAACTCTGTTGAGACCGTTGAGGATCTCCGCTTGCAGAACGAAACATTCCCGGTCAAGCTCTACCGAATGCTCTACGAGGTGGAAAAGAACGGGAAGGCCGACATCGTGTCCTTCCTGCCCCACGGACGCAGCTTTGCCATCCACAAGCAGAACGAGTTCGCCACGATCCTTCCAGGGTACTTTGCGACAGACAGAATGGCTTCTTTCCAGCGCCAGCTAAACCTCTATGGCTTTCGCAGGATCACAGATGGAAAAGACAAAGGGGCCTTTTTCCATGAGAAGTTCACCCTTGGGAAACGCAGTCTATGCAAGAAGATCAAACGAAAGCGAGGGAACCGCAGGTCTTCCTCCAGTCTCCGCCGCGGCTCCCAGGCATCCTCGTCCTCGACTTCCATGGCATCCCAGCAAGGTCAACATCAGCATGGTTCTCCTTCAAGCCGCATGTCGACCAGTGCTTGGGGGAGGTCGATTGCCGCTGGCCAAGGAACAGTCGGAAGCTCTCTGTCGCTGACCGGCCCCAGCCAACACAATCGTATGATGGGCCCCGCTGGCCTTGTTGCAGGATCCGATCTGCTTGGCCTCCCCACCATGGGTGCAGTTAACGGTCCTCGTGGATTGAATCTTCCATTGTCTTCCTCCTCACCCTCTCTGTTACAGCAGCAGCAACAGCAACAGCAGATGCAACAGCGATTGAGAGCGCATCAAGAACTGGAACATAGACTGATGCTAGAACGGGAACGCGCTCGAAGAGGAGGGCCTCCACATGGCCACTGAACAAGGAGCAGGGGCAAACCTTCTGGTAACCAACACATGCATGTATCACCGTCGATCACCAATAATCCATAACAAGAAGTCTAATGTTCACAACAACGCTATTGTTACAGTGTCGTTCACAATTACTAGCTAGAGTAGTAGACTGTACACGTGACTCGCAGATGTTCCAGATAGCACTGCTCATTTCGTGTGCTCTGATGTGCTAGCGGTGCAGGCCTACCATTGTTTGATTGTTGACTCTGCTTGGAGCAGTTCCCATATTTCGTCGTCAGTTGCCAGAAGCTGTTCTGTTTCAGCTCTGTTAAGATAAGGATAGTCTCCAATCCAGCATGCCAGGTCGGGGACAAAGAGATCAGTGAGAGCTGCAAGACTGGTGAACTTGGGAGATGTGCTTAACATAACACCCAACACAGGTTGCCCTGGAACGATGTCGGTATACTCCTCGCTCATTCGGGCATGAACTTGCAATGTTCGTCCACCAGAATCCTCTGCTTTGAATCGTAGTAGATATGGTCTCCCAGCCCATTGTTCTAGCTCATCTGCTTCCATTGCGTAATCTGCAAAATCTTCCAAGTCGAACTCGTCTTCACTGGGTGAGGATGCTTCTTCGACGACACAGACATCCCCTATTCTGCCCAAGAAGAGTGCACCAAAAAGCCCCAGGCGGCTGCTTTCGTCGTCATCATCGTCATTATCAAATGCGCTTTCAGTGTCAATGTTTGCGATCCACGGATCTACCAAATCTCTTCCTCCTCGAAGCTCCCAATTCCGTTGGTACGCTTGCAGTTGCGGTGAAAAGATGGACCAAAATAAAAAGATGGATCCCAAAACGGTCGCAGCGAATGATCCCATGGCAAAAGACAAAGAATAGCTGAAGATGACACCCAAAATTGTCACTACCACAGATTCAAAGATCCGACCGTAACGCTCCCTTTGGGTTCGTCCCCAGTATGTGGCAGATTGTTCTCCTGTTGGAGCTCCATTGACGACCAGCAATCGATCCAGATCGTCCACTGCCAGCGGTACAAGCGCCATGTGCAGACGTGTCCTCGACCGCGATTGCTTCGATGTGTGGGTGACAGTGTTGGTCCAACGAGGGATCGGGGATGGAAAATGATTCTGTCCAGGATGTCTCTTGCTCTGCTGCATCCAGCAACATGTGGAAGATCCATGCCAAAACGCAGAAACCATCCCAGGCAGAAAAGCCATCACTAACAGTCTTTCTCTGGGCATGGGCATGACGATATCAGCTGTTGTGGTGAGATCAACACTTACTTGTAGTGGACGCAATAGTTATGCAGGGTGAGTTGCAGGGTGGTAGGGTGGTACCAGGTGGTACCAGGTACCAGGGTGTTCTGGGTTACACTCCAAACTCACATATAAGAAATCTCTAAATTCAGCACAGCCCTGAGCCTTTCTTACCGTACAGCACCATTTTGGACCCTCAGATTGTTTCTAACAAAACAAGCCAATTTCAGCATAGAAGACTTTCTTACTATGCTTCTAGGTCAAGCAGGGCAGTGCTTGGATATACCCAATGAACCTGAGCCTTTTGTTTCATTTTGCTCAGGAATCATAAATTGGGTTGGATCAAACAGAGATGGTGATCACTGTGTCTGCCGTGAGGCAGAAAATTTTGCAGATGTAAGCACAAGTTTGAAGCGTTTTCATGGTGTCAGACTAGTAGTATTTCTTATGCTTTGAGGTCTTAATACTGGGAAGCTTTCTTACAAGTCTGTGATATTTCAGCATCAAGATGTTCTTAACATTTTCTAGAATCTCAGGTCTCGCTTTCTTATAGTGGAGTTTCTTATATTTGAGTTTGGAGTGTACTTGGCATTTTGTCACATTGCTCCTTAGTAAAAGTGGCTTATGTCTCACAATAACTACTAATGTCTACCAATGTCTACTAATGTCTACCAATGTATACTAATGTCTACCAAACGTCTACTAATGTGTACCAATGTCTGCCAATGCGTCACTTTGTCTACTAATGTCTACCAATATCTACATTGCATAGTAAAACAGTCCAAAATTGTCTACCAATGTCTACTAAAGTTCACCAAAGTCTACTAAAAATCTACTAAAGTCTACCAAATGTATACCAATGTCTTGCAATGTCTTACAATGTCAAGCGTGTCTACTAATGTCTACTTAAGTCCCAGGAGCACTTTTTTGCCAAAACACTTATGGGCCAAACAGACAAAATAAGCCATGGCGCATAGAAAACCACAACACTGCATGCACACTTGCCCCACCTAGCGAAAAATCGCAGTCGAGATAATCGCGATTTCGTGTTAGCTCACAAGCCACCATGGTAGAACGCAATCCCTACCACCTTTATGGCGCGTGTAGCCTGATCATTAGATTCTGTCTGCTCTGGGTGTTGTATCTTTGACCATGGTGGCCTGCCTTGACTGCCGGTGCTCTCTAGCTTGTCTGGAGTGCTCTTTGATGGCTGCTAGCTTCTCTGCAGATGGTGCCGTTTCAAAGTAAATGAATCCTTTCTTCTTCTCTTGTGGGACTATCTTTCCCCACTTCTCATACAGCTCCTTCCATTTAATATCTTTGATGCCGGTAGGGGCTGACGGCTCTGGTAGTGGAAGCTCTCGCCACCAACTCATAGGATGCTTCCTGTAATCTTCTTTCACCAACTTAAGACAAGTTTCCTCTGCTCCGTGGTACTCGGCGACATACATGTCATTGCCGCTTCCTTTTGCTTCATCTGCGTAGACAGTAAACTGATGGTTCTTCTTGATTTGCCCAGTCGGAATGTATATCATTGGCTCCTGTTGTGCGTCGTAGTCTCGAAAGGCTTCTTGTGGAACATGGATTGCGTCAATGAGATGGTGTTGGTTGATCGTTTGCACAAGATCCTTCGGGGTGTAGGTGTTGGATTGTCGCCACTCCTTCTTTAGGATGTTGAAGAGTCGGTCGCAGTCATTCTTGGTATGGCCTTTGACAAGAAAGGAAGCTCTTGCCATAAGACATACTCCTGCCTTGACAAGATAATGAAGCAGACGGAGGACCATCCTGTTCTTGTTCTGACCGCCGCAGTTATCCATGACAATGTTGAGTTCCTTGTAAGGAACGACAGTGTCCAAGTGCTTGAGCCGCCTCAATTCATACATAAGTAGACTGGCGACATCATTGCCACCTTTCTTTGCTTGGTCTTCCCCATAAGCAAGAGCAGCAAGTGTTGGTTGATGTCTGCTGCAGTCGACAATGCCAAAGACGTTGACGTTCATTGGGCTTAAATAGTAGGTCTCACCGGGTTGTTCTGCAGCGAAGTGGGGAACATACATGTTCTGTGAGTAGTCGGCAACAAAGCAGAGGATACGATTGGCCGGTGGTTGATCACTTGTGTCAGGAGCTTCCTGTTTCTTGAGTCGGAAGAAGTCTCGCTGGATCTGTGCCATCTCCACATGTTTGGCTGCCGACTTTATCATCTCCTCATTGGCTAGCATGTCGTCGACCTCCTTTTGTGTGGCATGATCGATGACTTCTTGCAGATGCTTCTCTTCTTCATCTTCCTCTGAAGAAGAATCCGTGTCTTCCTGTTCTTGTTTCTTTGCAAGACGTCTCACCGCTTTGGTCAACTTGGTATGGTACTTGTGAGAATTTGCGAACACGTAGCAGTCACCACAGACGTCTTCCCTTGGCTTGTGGATCACCATTTTGGGGAAGTTCTTTTTCCAGTAGAGACGAAAGGTGGTCCAGGATGGAACGTCGTCTGCATCTTCCCTTAACTTCTCTTTCTCCTTGATGAGTCCTTTCTGTGTATAGTTGTACTTCCAACCACGTTCTTCAAGAAGCCTCTTGTACAAGAAGTGTTTCGAGTAGCACGCTGGTAGCTCCACGACATCTTCGTCATCCTCTCTTAGAGTTGTTTCGACTTGGCCGCGTACAAGTTCGCGAACTATCCTTGTTGCACGTGGAACTGCCATCGCCTCCATTCCAGTGAAGAAGTCCTTCAGCACCATGTCCATGGCTAGATTGCGTCGGTTCCCAGACTGTCTTCTTGTCAGTCCGTGCTTGAGTTCTTTCCTTCCATCTGCGATCTTCTTGATGTTGCGCCACTTTTCGGTACCAACTGCCAACATTGCGCAGAATGCATGCTTGCAAACTAGATAGTCTGTTCCAGGAAGTAGGAAGACTTTTGTATCCTTCTTCATCGATTGGACAACTGTGCCATACCTGTACCACTGCACCAACAGAACCTTTTGTTCATCTGCTTCCAACAGCGCAAACTCCCAGAGGTTCTGGACCATGGCCATTCTCTCTTCATCTTTGAGTTTACCTCGAACATCATGTAGGCATGTGCACTTCAGCTTCCTTGAGGTATTGTCCATGTCAAAGCATCGCTCGCTATGATCAGTCCGGTCAAAGAAGTAGGTTTCAATCATACAAAAACTTTCCCACTCTTCATG